AATTATCTATAAGTTAGGAATATGTTGAATTTATTAATAATGATTTGAAATTAAATATTAAAATATTATAATTTATTTAATATATAACATTTATTTCTATTTATATCATAAACATATTGATAAGTAAGTCACTTTATAATATTGTATTATTATTAATTTATATTATATAATTACTTAAATAACATCACATTATTATTAATATATTATAATTATAAGATTATAAATTATTAATTATATATAATTATAAATATAATAAATTAATATTATTTTATATTAAATTATAATTATAAAATATAAAAGAGTAATAAATTATTTATTCTAATATAATTTTATAAAAATATAACGGTTATTTAATAAATAATTATAATGTAATATAATTAAATTATCACAACTATTTACTTTATCTATGAACAATAAATTAATTATTAATATTATATAATTATAACTAATTATATAATTTATTAATTTATATTCTAAATATAAGTATAATATATAATATTTATAATTATTTAATAATAGTTATTATTAATAGTGTAACTAATTGAAATTATATTATTTAATTATAATATATAAACTAATATATTATATTTATTAATATACAATTAATTATTACTAATATTGGATAAATTATATAATATTAATATGATAAGATTTGAAGTAAATAATTGCTCAAATAGTCATAACTATTTGAACAAGTTTGATAAATAGATTTATTTTTTAAATCACTTTATAATTTAACAATTAATAGTTTAATTAACTAATTTATTAATATTTATTAATTATAATTATCGTTATATTTGAAGCCTAGTTAAGATCTTTTCAAATCCTAATTATTAAATTAGTAAAATAAATTATTGTAGTAATTTATTAAATTATCTATTACTTTAAATTTATAAATTGTTTTATAATTTTATAATATTAATTATAATATTAGAAGATTTATAATATTTTATAATTAATTAATATTATAAAATTAATGATAAATTAACAAGTGACCTGTTATATTGTTTATATTCAATTTTAATAATAGTAGTAATATTTCAACAATTATTAATTAATCAAATACTAAAATAATATTATATTTTTTGAATATATAAATCTATATTATATATTATTTGTCAAATAATATTAAATATTTATTGTTTTTATTATAATGAATGAGTATATTTCTATATAAAATAAACAAGTATAAATATTTAATCTATTATCAAATAACGGACAATTATTATTATTAATTTAATATAACAATAAATAATTAATAAATTCCTTTTGATTAAAGTTTATAATCCAAATTTTCAATAGTTATAATATTAAAATCAAAATTTATTTCAATTATTTGATTATTATATTGTATTACAATTTAAAATAAGTATTAGTTTAAATTTTTTAAAAAATATTAATAAAATAATATTTATTTAATAAATTATTAGTATTTATTATAATTTAAATTTAATATAGTTGCTTCAACTCATACATGCTTATTGAAATTAATAATTATGTTATATTATTTCTTATTAGTAATATATTAAATAATATTATTAATTATATAATTTAAATATAATACTATAATTAATATTAATATAGTTAAAATACAAATCTTAATTCATGATTACAAATAATTATTTAACTATTTGATAAAATAATCTAATTATATCATATTTATAAATTATACTAATATATTATACTATATAATTATGTAATATATTATTTATTTATTAATTATATAATATTAATAACTATTATATATTTAAGTTAGTTATAATTATTATATTTATTTTAATTATTTATTGTTATTTTAATGATTTGAAATAAATAATTATTCAAATAGTCCTAACTATTTGAACTTATTCTGTAAATAGATTTGAAATAAGTTTGTTATAATATTAAAACAATATTATTAATTAATAGCTTAATATTCATTATATTAATTAATTATATTATAATTTAATATATAGTTATATTATATTAATTTAATATTAAAATAGTAAATTATATTTACTATTTAATAAAATAGTCATAATATTGAAACGTGTTATAAATAAATATTATTATAAATTATTATAAAATAATTATTAAATTATCTTAGTTCATTTAATACAGAATTTTATATAAATTAATTAAACAAATTTCATTATTAAAATAGTCATAATTAACTTAAATTATAATCATTAATATATTATTAATTTTTAAATTATTATAATACTCATTTATTAATATTTTAAAAATTAATAAAGTAAGGATATATCTGTTGTAGGCTGACTAATTCAAATAAATTATGGACTATTTAAACAGATTATTATATTTCAAGTCATTATAAACCTTTTATTAATTAATTATTCAAATTAAAAATTATTAATATATTATAATTATAATATAATATTAAATATATTAATAAAATATATTATAATTTATCATATAATTAATATTATCTGAATAATAATAATATATTAATTAATTTATATTATTAAAAAGTATAAAAATATTATAATATTAATTAATAATAATTATAATCTTTAAAAATAATAATAATAATTTTATCCAATTATTATTAGTTATAACATAATAATTTTTATATATGATAGAGAAATTAGTTCAAATAATTATGGTACTAATGATAACTACTATGAAAATTAATTTATAAATAATTATTATAATTATTATTAATATATTTAATATATTATTTGATAAAATTAATATTATAGAATTATATTTATTAATATTAATAAAAAATTTTAATACTGATTTATTATAATTAATTAATTATAATAATTATTAATTTATAATTATAAATTAATTTTTATTTAATAATTATATGTTAAATATAATATATTTAATTATAATATTATATAGTTATTAAAAAATTAATAATTATGACTATTTATAATAATAGTTATTATATTCTTATATTAGCTTAATTAATATTAATAATTATAATATAATAAATAATTATATTATTTAATTTATTTATTTTATGTTACTAGAATGAAACTAATAGAATATTAAACTAATAATTAATTATAACTCTTTGTTATTAATTAACTTAATATTGAATTATATTAAAATCAATAATTTATTAATTTGAAATTTTAGTTATTTATAATAAATAATCAGTAGTCATAAAATATTTGTTACTCTAAATTTATATAAATAATTAAAATTATTAATTATATTAATATTAATAAATAGTATAATTTGAGATAAGCATATGACTATTGGTTTGTTTTAATTAATTATAATAATAAATATTTTTTGAAATATTATATATATTAACTAATTATTAATAATAATATAATTTAATATATAGTTTTATAAATATTTATTATATTTTTGATTCTCTATTTCAAATCGTTATGGCCTTTTTCTTTTGTCATAAAAGAATTGTTTTGTTCATACAAACTTATTCTAATTAAAATAATACTAATTTAATAATATTTTAAAAATTAATAAATAATAGATTTAAAAATTAAATTTATTTACCTAATTAGTTCAAATAGCTAAAACTATTAGAACAATTATCTATTTGAAATTTTTTTGACCTTTTGTTTAGTCATAAAATAATTGTTTTAGTTAATACAAGTTTATTCAGAATAAATTAATACTAATTTATTAATATTCAAAAAATTAATAAGAAAGACATTTAAAAAAATAAATCTATTTATCTACTAAATAAGTTTGAATTATAATTACTAAATTATAAAATATTATAATTATTATATAATTAATATTGTAATTCATAATTACATATTTGATATATATTTAATAAAAATATACTAATTATTTGATACTAAATTATAGCTAAAATAATACTAATTAAAACTTATTGTTTTTTAATTAAGAAGAATGTTGGCCTTGAATTGATTAAAAGTTTTGATTTGACAAAACAAAAATTTGTCTAACTTGAATTAATCTCTTCTAATCTTAAATTGAACATTTTCCACTCTTCTATCTTGGCAAAATTCATTTAGGAATCAAATCAAGTTAAATTCTAGAAATAAAAAGGGATTAATGCATGTTTTGATAGGAGGGACCGACCCCCTAAGGGAAGGGATCGATCCCCTCATTACCAAATCGATCCAGTTTTCTTCCAGAAGCAAAATTTGTGAAGTTTTGGTAAAAACCAATCGATCCTCTCACTGTAAGGATCAATTGGCTAGGGTTTCAAGCTTACTCAATCGATCCTTCCCTTAAAGGGATCGATCATTTTTTCATACAAAATGTTTTCCTCGTTCAAATTTCAAAAAAAATGGATCGATCACCTAGGCATGGGATCGATCCCTTTATTAAAGGGATCGATCTATTTTGAAAAAGAATGCTTTTCTCGTTTGAAAATGAGCAAAAGGTATCGATTCCCCTATATAAGGGATCAATCAGGTAAGGCCTTTTATACATAATTTCAGAGTGTTTTAAAGCTGACCCAATTGATCCCTTAAGTCCCAAAAAGCCCAAACGACTATATTTTGTCTAATATTTTGCAGGTTTGAAGCATTAAATGCAAGGCAACGGCTCTCAACTTCTTCTTACCTATAAATAAAACCTTCCACTGTAGAACAAGAGAAAGAAGAGTTAAGAGAACTTATTGCTATTCACCAATCATCTTGTTTAAGCATTCAAAGCAATTCAAAGAGAGAAAAGTGTAAAAAATCCTACTCATATCAATTTTTCTGTAAATTCCTTGTCAATGTTGTTGTGTACTTTAAATTAACAAACACTCAATCTTAAAGAGATTTTTTAAGTTTGTAAAACACCGCAGAAAATATTGTATTATGAGATTGTGAGCTTAAGGGAGAGGATAACCCTTAAGAGTCTGTAGAGTTGATTGTGTAAAGCTTTGAGAAGCTAAATTGTATTGTGTTCAACATATAATGGATCGAACTCCTTGGCAAGAGAGGCTAAGAGAGAGGACGTAGGTGCCTAAAGAAAGGACCGAACCTTTATAAATCTTGGTGTCTAATTCTCTAACTCTATCTCTTGTTAGCCGAAAGAAATCAACTCACCACCAAAAGCAGAGTCTGTGGCTTTAGAGTGGTTATATTGTCAGTAACCAGCTCAAATCCTTGAGGGGCATCAACTATCTCTACAATGGTCCTTGCACCAAGCAAGAAAAAATGATTCAGCAGATGCATGTTTCAGCTCTGAAACAGCTAAATCAGTTGAAGGAGCCTACAAATGTGAATGGCCAAAGCATTATTACACAAATATTAACAAATAAAGGCGAAAATAAATAAGAAAATGATAAAAAAAAGTTTTCCATACAGAAGTCAGATGCATCAGCATAAGTAGACCATAGAATTCCATTAATAAAGGGAGATAGTCATAGTAACCATTTGCAGAATTCCTAGTGATGGTAACAAGCCACACGCAAACACAAACTTTGGCTTTCCCAATTGACCATGGGGGTAGGTACCTAGTTTTGCTATCTTAATTCATTGCTAGGGTAGTTCCTTGGAATTGGTTTAAATTGGAGATGCTCCTTCCTTTAAATGGGAAGTGGGCTCCAACATAAATTAAAAATAAAGGATATTAAATTGCAATGATCACTTCATAAAAAGACAAGCCATTGCTCACCAAAAAACATAGACCAATAAAACTAGTAGATCAGGAAATAAGTTTAGAGCCCAAGCATCCTGTATTTCATTAACTCTTGAATGAATACCAGGTCATGAGGCCACCACCAATGAACATGAGAGAAACATGTTGAAACCTGACATAGTACTGAATAAAGCATCCAATACGCAACAGAATTTTGTGTTTTCATCCTAATTTATGAGAATGATAAATATGATACAAACTACAAAAAGAGGGACAGCAAAAAAACAGAATCCAATCCTAAACATCTGAGAATCATTCTTACCCCTATGCTCCTTACCACCCATAAACTCACAGCCATCAACAATCTATTCCACTTTTATTGAAGGCTAGAAATTTTTCAAAGATAATGCCTGCATATCCTATTACAAAATGCAATGCCATAAAAATATGCATTATGAAATTAGATCAACTTAAGAAAGGCTTCTGGGCATAATACAAGAATATACAAAATATTCGCTAAAGATGAAAAAATAATTACAACCTACAAAGAAAGGATTGCACAAGAAATTAAAGATAAACCTGGATGTTGGTAACCCACGATAGGTTAATTGCCACAGTCCCTGTTAAAGCTGCTGTGAAAACACTAATAATTTTCAACAAATTAGTTTTTGGCTGGTAAGTAACTTCAAAATCTAACGAGCTAGCTTCATCAACTCAACATAAAGGATCACAAGGTCCAGAGGTTGAGGTCAGCTCCTGTTGATATGCAAAGGTTATTTTAGTGTGTGAAAGAACCCAAAAATGAAAAAACATAGACACTTTCGTTTTGCTATGATGGTTGGTTTTTATAGCAATTTGGAGAATGCTTTCTAAATAGCCTTTTGAGTAATCTTCCCTCATAAAGAGGATCATTACTCAGCCTTAATCCTGCCAATGAAGGATGAGAAACCAAGAAGAGTCATTTGAAAAATGTTCCTAGCCTTTAGGATTCAGCATTTTTTACACAATGAGGCTACTTTTAGGACTTGAACTTGCTCATTTGAGCCCTTTAGCCAAAATCTTTTATATTACACCAGACAGTATCTCCTAATCAATCCTCATATATCTAACTAAATCAATCTGATTTTTGAGCTAAACATCTGCAGAAGGTAATTTCCAATAGCAATAGCTTGAAATTCTATCAAATTATTTGACCTCCTCATTAACCAAGATAAAATCTTCAAATGTATGAACTAGCAGTACAGACAAATGGGTACCCTTAAACTGCAGTACTTATAAGCAAGACAATAAATGACAAAAGACACAAAATGAAATAAAAAAACACTCACCCAAATCATAAATCAATGAACATGCAAATGGGTACTCGTAAAGATAAAATTTTTTATAATGGCATAGGGATGAAAAGAACAAAAACCTCAAGTTGCTTTTCATTGTTGGGTTAAACTTTTTGTTGTCGTGCAATAACTTTCGTTATGGGGTTTACCTAGACTCATAATTGTTGTTATATTATTACATTATAATATAAATCAAATTAAAAAAATTTTTTATTGAAAGAAAAAAAGAACAATACTAATTTTTTTACTTGAGATACTATAACTAATTGAAGGTATGGATCCAATCTATAACAAAAGTTATAAAGGGGATACACTCATTCTTTTTTGTTTCTAACCTTTGATGACATGGCTAACCAGTAAGCCGAGGGATTGCAAATCCCTTATTCCCCGGTTCATATCAGGTTGTTGCTTGATCAACAAAAAACTTGAAATCCTATATTCTGCTTTCCTCATATGACTCAAAAAATTTTCTCTAGCAAAAACAAGTGCAAGAAAAAGACTCTTGATACTTTCTTGATTATAAACTTAGCAAAGTTTTGTCTTCAAAAATGTTGTAAATCCTTACGTCTAGGATTCAAGGAAAAATTAGAGTGGGGGAAGGGAATCAGAAATCTTGATATGATATCCCCTCTCCTATTATTGGAGGGGCTGTTAGAAGAGTCTTCAATTAGATTGGATATCATAATGGGAATGTCTAATTATTAACAAATGAATAGTTGTACAAGGGTAAGTAATGAACAACAGTTACCTTTAAAAAGTTTTTCATGCTTTGAAAGCAAGGTCCAGACAACACATCATTGCAACATATGATTAATGCAACATATATGTATGCAATAATCCCTCATTCCCCAAAAGACAAAGGGAAAAAGAGAGAGGCAAAGAGGAATCTAACCCAAAATGAAGCATCATATGCATGTGTTGATCAACAATAGGTGACAGACGCTAAAAACACCCAGACAAGTAGACAACAGAGCTTGCATAGCATTTTACACGTACAGGCCACAACCAAACGGAATAAGTCTATTGCAAATCATTAAAAAGGTTGCAGATCCTAACAAAAATGTTCACCTAATGGCTCCAGCTGCTACTTTGTGAAAATAAGCATGTGAATGCAACCAATCTTTAAATTTTAGCTTTCCAACATATGCACGTGGTTTTATTTTCCTCAAACAATAAGAATGGAAATCAAATTGATCTTCAGTAATATCAGCATAGTGCTTCTCCACAGCTATAAATTTCTCCAGGGCCCGTCCAAAATCACCATGTCGAAAGTAACTTTCATCAGAAGCAAGTTCATACCTTCAAAAAATGGATAACACTCAGTAGGTGTACCCAAATTATAATTAGAGACAACATGTGGAAGGTAATAAACAAAAACAGACCACATGCACTGCATGTCATGAAGGTTGTTGTGCTGGCCCCCATCTTTTGTGAACAAAACAACAGTTTTTCCTGCCAAAGCCACCTTCAAAAGTAGAAAAAGTTTGTGAACAGTACAATAACACCGAAAGAAATTTAGTGACAAATATTAACTATGACAAAAGATGAAGTGGGGAAGCCTTAGAACCTGATCAGACTGCAACATTCGCTTCACAGATTCATTGTTTATATAACGATCTGCAAGATCCATACACCTAGCTTCATCTGTCAATGAAGCCACAGCTACCAAATCACCAACATGTTTCAGTATCCGACTCTGTCACCAAAGAGAAGTAAATAATATACACATAAACCTAGCTTTAAGAAAATTCCAAGAACTTCTCCAAAAGATCAAGAAACAATAGCCAGTCAAACTAAAAAGCACTAGTCAAACTAATATAAGAAAAAAAAAATCTCACCTGGATATAAAGGTTAGAAGAGGCTTAATGCAATCAATTGCCGCTTTACGAAATTTGTTTCCTTGCAGTAAATCAAGTGGTATCCTCTAAAATTTGAGAAAACAAAGTTTTAATATAAGTCATAAAACATTCATCACACATTATAAAGGAAATAGCATTTATTGGCAATAATGATGCACATTGTAACGGCAATAATTACAATTCTCATGAACGAATACATAACAAATGTGGGTTACAGGAAGAAAACAATTTAAATACATCCTCACTGCATGAGTCAAATTCCAAAAGCTCTAGAGTTTGACACTTTATTTCAATCATGCCATAACCTGGCCCATCGTCAAAAAGTTTTTATATAGGAAAGTCAGTTTAACTAAAAGAATGAGACAAAGATAGCCACTAATAAAAGAATTAGCCATCATGTCAACTCTCTAGGGGTGAAGCATATGAAAGCATAATTTTAACCACCTAGAGTTCTTACTATTGTCACATCAAGACATCGATGAAGTATTTCAGCATAATACCACAATTATCTATTTCTAGATTATTTAAGAATATCACAAGCCATCGAATGGACTGTGTCTATTGTAGAAGCACATCACTAGATTTTTGTCACATAATTTCTTATCAAGCCATCAAGAAAAACAAGATCCCTACAAGAGTATTTGTAAAAATAGCCGCCCTTCCTCTCTCTAAAAAAGGGGAGAAAGCTTGATAGCTCTACAAAAAAGTAAGGTTTTCGTTGGATTTGCATCATGTGATTCTATAAATAAGAGAGAGAAGAAATCCAGAGTAAATATAATGAACAGAACATCCCAAGGTACCATTTGGAGCTCATTAAAAAAAATACCAAATAGAAAATCAAATTAATATGACTAACAGCTAAGACATAATAAACCAGCTTACACTAGCAATATCATTATCTACAGTCTATAACGAGAACACATTTTATCATCAGAAAAAAATAAAAAAAAATCAAATCGGGCATTATTTGAAGTAAAAAAATTTAAATAAAATTAAGATGGTAGAAATCAAACATTTAGAAGGTCTCCAAATTCCTCACACATTCCAATTTGTCCTCCACCAACTAATTCTCTACTTTGTTTGGATTAACCAATGGCCGAGAAAAATTCCTTTTTCCCTCTTATTAGATCAAGAACCATAATTTCCTAACCTAATCTTGATGCCCAATCTCAAGGAAAGTTGAATCGACTCATTACTTGCTTGATGTCGATATTATCGATGATAATCTATATTCCAAGCCAAAAGGGAACCAAAAACGAAAAACCTAAATTTGAGAGAAAGAAGATTGAAATGATGAGAAGAATGGCTGAAGACAGTGGTTTTTAAATTTAAAATGCAAAAAAATCTATCCGTTGAAACTTAACCAATTAAATTTTAAATTAAAAATTAACTTTTTTAAAATAAATGTAGTGACTAAATGAAAAACATATTTGATGAAAATCAGCTTTGCTTCTTTTATATAAATGAAAAAAAAATGCACTTCAGAAGAAAAAAATGCAAATAGAAAAAGTGGAGGAGCCCCATCAATTTTAAAAGAAATTTCATTTTTCTAACGAAAACAAAGTTGAGGAAGAATGGAGGATGCGAATGATAGCAAAAGCAATTCTAAATTAAAATCTAAATTACCCCCACACCAAACTTTAATCAAAAGCCCAGCCAAGCCAAAGCTTAAAAGTTGCAAGGATGACTAATGAGAAGGAATAGCATCGTTTCTCAAAATTGGCCAACAAGATGGTGAAAGACTGATAAATATCTGCAATTACCAAAAAACCCCTTACCAATTCACCAAAAAAAAAAGAGCTGATCATTTTATTTGGTGGTTTAGAAATTTAGACTTTTCTCAAAATAAGGGGAGGACCCTCCCCTTCTCATTAGTCCCATTCCCAAAGACACGTGATGGTGTTTATGATTCCATGGGTCAACCATCACTGCACCCCATGATCAGCTTCTAAAACATTATTGATAACTATATTATCAAGGAGAAAATTAGCAAAATCATGAATGAAAAATTGAAATAATGAATCAGTTGAGAAGAAAACCAAGTTAAATATATCAAATATTTTTTGAAGACGTCGTGTGTTCTTAGATTCTTTTTATATTTATGATATTTTTATTTTATTATATTTTTTGTAAAAAAAATTTAAAAATAAGAAAAGTTATCTTATTTTTAAAAATTAATAAATTATTTATTAATAAAAAATCATTAAAGATTTGAATCTAATTATCATAAATCTAAATACTTTACATCTAAATCTTAAATTTTAATCATTTGCACCAATTTTTATTGGCTTACTTGATTATAATTAATAAAAAAAAAACTCAATAAAGTGCTGAAAGAAAGAAAAAAAAATTCATAACACGTTGATAAAATTGTTCATGCAAACTAGTAAGGAGATATATGAATTTTTTTTTTTTAAACTTGTGGTACGAGATCTTTTGAGATAATTATTGGTTGAAATAATATGTAATTTAATTAAATTTTAATTTAGTCAGATTTTTAAAATTATAAATTTGAAATATTTTAAATGTTTAATTTTTTTTTCATACAAATTAAATTAATAAATTAAAATTTAAAAAAATTAATCACTTAGATTTTATTTTTTCTTTGAGATTTTTTTTAAAGAATATTCCAAAGCTTATAAGTTGAGATTTCATGTTTTTCCGTAACGTTGGATTTGAAGAAATAAAATTATAAATATACGGAAACAGTTCTTTTGATTTTTTATAAAATTATATACCATTAAAAATTATAATTATAATCAAATAACTTTTAATGTATTAAAAAAAATTAACAAATCAAAATGTAATACGACGAAATTCAAATTTGATTGGTTAAAAAAATTTTAAAAATCTAATAATTAACAATTACTCAAACAAAAAAAATTAAGCATTTAACAATTTAATCATTCAATTACATATAATATTATTATTTAATATTTTTAGTTATGTTTAATACATAAAATAATAGATAAGACATAATAATTTTATATTATATTTAATTTACCTATAATTAATCGTATTGATATAAAATGTTTTAATTTTTCGAAAATAAAAATAACTGTTTTTTATTGACGATATTAAATTTATATGTTTTATTATAACATTAAAAATTATATTAATAATTTAAATTATATAAATTTTAAAGAAAAATAAATTTCTGTAGCATCTCAACAAGATTTGGTTAACCTTTTTCAACTAATAATAAATTTTTATAATCCAATCAAAATCCACTTTTTGTTGCTAATTATCTACCTTTCCTCCATAATAAAATTCAAACAGCAAACCATAAGAGACGAGACTTAGAACAACAAAACTGGGAATTTTTTATCGCCACTCTTGTCAGCTCCGTAGCAAAATTTTCCACATTATGCAGTGTTTATAAATGGCAACTAATAAAAGGGGCGAAGTACAACATGCTCCAAAGGCAAAGATTGGCTCTAAAACAGTGTTCTTCCCATGCTGACCAGAAGATTTCATCAGCAGTACCCAAAAATTTTCTATAGCACCTCAAATTTTGGGGCAAAACTATGGAGCCAGATATCTCTAAAGATCTCAACCAAATGGTGAGCAAATTAAAGAAATATATATATATATATATATATTTCAACCCTAAAATCATAAATGTGGATAAATTATACACATTTGCAAAGGAATGCATTTCACGATTAGAAAGGCAGTGAAAATTTTGATCTCAAAGCAACAGAAGAAAGCGTTGTCATGGCTTGCACAACTTCAAGATGCTCCTTTTTTCCGCCTGCTGAAAAGCACTCTTTCAAATTGTCTACATAATTTTACTTCAATTGTCTAAGAAGCTATCAATAAAGAGGGTCTAATCAAAGAATAAACAATCATTTCTTGAATAATTTTGTCACATAGCTTGCAACTTCAATTAAATAAACATCAATAAGAAAGTGAGAAAATTATTATCATGAAAGTCCACCTTTCTTTAAAATGCCAATAATAATCACAGCATCCAACTTTCAAAGATTAAGCATCATAATAACAAAAACCAAGCAATCAGAACTCGTGAGATACATCTCAAAAAAATCACTGAATGATGTTGAAACCATAAATTTAAAATTCCTAATTTAATGTTTTATTTTTAGGCATCTAATCTATAATATTCAATTAACAGTATATCAAAATTTCAATACCATTAATATTCTTACTAAAATACTTTCTAAACAAACAACAGTAATTAATTTCATTAGTTGTTAATGGAGTCAAAGTCAAATTCCTAGTCAGCATCAATTTATGTGGAGAATTATACTTACTCAAAGCAGCATCTTGGTCAATAAGAACCTTTTCTAAGAGTTTATGGACTGCAATACAGTCCTTGAGTTTCCACGCCAATAATGGTCCAAGTGCCCCATTCCTGGACAAGCAAAAGAGAAAGAAACAATTAATCTCAAGAGTAAGTTGCAAGGCATGGAATCGACATCAAACAGCAAAAATTTTAATGTACACTAAGAGCATTACATTGGCATGACTTTATTGCATGAATCTTCAATTAACTTAACAGCCTCAAGTTTCTTGGTCTGCTCCAAGGTATATAACATTTCTGCAACTGCCACTATATGCATCAAAGATTCTGCAGAACCAAAAAGTAAAATTTGCATGATTATACAACCTACCTCAAGGAACCTAAAATGCATCATGTTATGTAAAGGTCGTAATACCTTCATGTTTACCAAGGAAAACTTTGTTCGCCTCACTAAGAGTTTTCTCTTGCAATTGACTGCGGAAAGAGAAAATAAAGCATTTAATGCATCAGGGATCAAAATAATAATAGTAACAGTAACACAACAAAATTCTAGTAGGGGGAACAGCTATCATAAAGCCATTTCAAAGAGAACCTGATGGATGGATGCTCAGCTTCTAAGACACTCCAAACAAGTTTTTCAGCATCAGTTAATGGAGCAGGCATTGAGCCCAATTTATGGAAAAATTTAATCTGCATTAGATTAAATTCAAATAAGCATTGTAAAGATTACATGATCTTTGTATCTAAGAACAGAAAAGAATGCAGTTGTGCATGGCAGTGCACAAATATGGTAGGGCAGATGTTACATACCAAGCAGCGATGTGAATCTGGATTCTCAGCATCCAACCTTAGCAGTTGCTTTACAGCCTTCAGGAAAACAAAATAAAACCAAGACAAACGTATTAATATGAGCTCATGAAATAGTAAAAGTACTACCAAGGATTTAAATAGCGGTCGCGGTCACATTTTCGGTTGCGTAGCATTTGTCGCGTTTTCGGATATAACGGAGATAATTGCGGTCACTGCGGTCATCACGGTCGTGAAATTTTTTTTTTTTGCACAATTTATTATAAAATGTAATAATTATAATTATAATTATAAAAACTCTTATTCAATGATTTTAAAAATAGTTTTATAACACTATGTTTTTTATTTTCTAAAAAAATTATTCACAATTTTATTTAGATTATAAAAAGCATTCATATTTGATTTATCCATAAAATTTTTTTTGGCCAAGTTCATATTCAATATTAATTCTAGACAAATCAAATATTAACAAAACATAATATGTTAAATACCAAGCATTTAATTTAATAAAATTACAAACTTAAAAATATAATAATTTCAAATTCCATCAACTACAATTATTGATACATATTTCAAATTTACCACATGATAGAATGACGAGGAGGATCAGATTCTCTATCTTCACTTTGAGAGCCAAGTTGACTCCATCTCCATCCCTGAGACCTTTGTTCTTGATACATTTGAGGTGGAGGATATATTTGAGGATGATACATTTGGGGTGGAAGGTACATTTGTGGTAACTGATATATTTGAGGTGGATGATATATTTGAGGAGGTGGAAGATACATTTGAGGTGGATAATAACCATATGGAGGTGGATAACCATGAGGAGGTTGAAAATTATGTTGTTCTGGTGGATAGTAATGTCTTTGAGTACTAGCAGATGATTCACTATACTCAAAGTTACTAGAATTTGGTCTCTCACCTGAAGATGAAGAACCTCTAGAAATTTCATAGTGGTGCTTCTTTGCTTTTCCTTTTGATCGAGCTGTACGTGCACTTTGACCCTCACTAGATTCAGCAAATGGATTTCCTCCGTATTCTGCCATATTAATAAAAAGTCCACCAGTAGCAACATCCCTGAGACCTTTGTTCTTGATACATTTGAGGTGGAGGATATATTTGAGGATGATACATTTGTGGTGGAGGGTACATTTGTGGTAACTGATACATTTGAGGTGGAGGATATATTTGAGGAGGTGGAGGATACATTTGAGGTGGATAATAACCATATGGAGGTGAATAACCATGAGGAGGTTGAAAATTATGTTGTTCTGGTGGATAGTAATGTCTTTGAGTACTAGCAGATGATTCACTATACTCAAAGTTACTAGAATTTGATCTCTCACCTGAAGATGAAGAACCTCTAGAAATTTCATAGTGGTGCTTCTTTGCTTTTCTTTTTGATCGAGCTGTACGTGCACTTTGACCCTCACTAGATTCAGCAAATGGATTTCCTCCGTATTCTGCCATATTAATAAAAAGTCCACCAGTAGCAGCAAGCCCAAATTCTCCTCTAAGTGGGCTGTAAGGTCGATTTGCATCCATATTATCACCAAAATTCGCACCATCACCATCACCATCTCCATCACCATCATCATCTGGACTTAAACCACCACCATCATCACTCTGACTTGGTGTTGGACTTGAACTTGAATGAGATACATTCCTTTCTTGAGATTGACGTGATCGTTCAACATTCATTTCATTATCAGAATTATCTGCAGGTAACCAATCAGAGTTTTGACCATCTAATAGAGGATTTTCTTTCTCTTGCAACCATTCTGTTAGTGGATCATCATCTTCAAAAATATGGTCAAGGCTAATAGGATTAAAACTATTATTTATTTCATCAATGCTCATTCTTTTTTGATGTCTCATCCTCAACCTCATGTTATAATAGGTATATACAAGTTTCTGGAGTCTTGCAAACTTCAATCTGTTTCTTGCTTTGGTGTGAATATAGCTAAATGTGCTCCAATTACGTTCACAATTTGATGCAGATGTTGTTTGACTAAGCACTTTGATTGCTAGTTTTTGTAATTCAGGAACACAAGTGCCATATATCATCCACCACTCAGCTGTATAAAATTATTTAAATTAAATTTCAATGGGCTATACAATTAAATAATATAAATAAATTATAATTATTTAACTTACTATTTACCTGGATTCATTTGCTTCCAAGCTCTTTGTGCTTGTGGACTACCAAATGTTTCATGCTTGTCTCGAAATAATAACTACATCATTGAAAATACAATAATAAATGAATAAATAAAAAATAATTTAATTTTTAATACATAAAACAAATGTTAAAGTTATAAAATAGTATTAAATACTAACCTGATTAATCATTCTGATTTGAGTATCTATCGAAGGTTCTAATCTTTCAATAACTGCTTTTATACCTTCTAATGTTTCCTTAAATACATTTGCAGAATGTTTCACTCCAAATTGAAATTGTGGATTTAGATAGTAACCTAAACATAATTTATAACAATATTATATTAAAGGAATAAAAAATAAATATATAAGCAATTTAAGTATAAAAAATAAACATATTTTTTAAATACCATCTATATTCTTGGTTTACTTACCAGCTGAATGCAAGTCAGAGTGCATGAAACTCCATCTATTGTCAATAATCTTTTCATATTCAGCAGAATAACGACAAGTTTGTTGAATTGCTTGTTTAGCTCTATCCACAGCCTCGTAAATAAAGCACATTGTTGGTTTTTCGTCACCATCCACAAGGCGCAACACTTTTACCAAAGGCTCATAAACTTTTATTATATCACCTGCTTTTTTCCAAAAATCTTTTCCCAAAATGATTTTTTTGACTTCATAAGCAGGTCCAGATTTTTGTTGTCCCCATTTTGAATCTTTAAATTCCTATATATTCATCAATAAATTTTTAGAGTAATATATTTTAAATTAATATTTTAAAACAATAATATTATAAAAAGATGCTAGATTTAAATAATTGTACTAATTACTAAGTACTAACCTTTGAATTGAACATCTCTCTCAAACTTTGCTTTTGCCTTATTATTTCCTCTAATTGTATGAAATGAGTGGCAAATCGGGTAAGAGCAGGACGAAGTATTTGCTTCCCTTGTGTATATTTCTTCATCAAATTAACAGTCCAAATGTGATTGTATAAAAAACAAGTCACTTTCTTTGCATCATCCAAAACCTTTGCCACATTTTTTTTCCTCCCAATATCTTCAAGGCACAAGTCCAAACAATGAGCTGAACATGCTGTCCAATACAAATGTTTTCTCTTCTCCATTAGTCTTTTTCCTGCGGCCTTAAGTGCTGCCTCATTATCAGTGACTATTTGAACAATGTATTTTTCTCCAATTTCTTCCACAACTTCATCTAATAATATGTAGTAAAAGTTTGTATCTCTACTACGAACACTTGAGACATCTATAGATTTCCAAAAAATAATCCCTTTACTACAGTAAACAAGAAAATTAATGATATGCATTTGATTCAAACTATTGGTCCAACCATCACACATCAAAGTGACACCCAATTCATTCCAATAAGCTTTTAATCCATTAACCCATTCATGAACTTGTTGATACTCAGACTCTAAATACACATCTAAGACCTCATAAGGTGTTGGAAGTCTTACATGTTGGCCAACTTCTGCTGCCACAGAAATCAAATTATGCAACCATGGGGAATTTGCTAATTGAAAAGGAAGTCGATCATATATCAAAAATTTTGATACTGATTCACCCATTTTTCTTCTTAATGTCTTTAGAAATGAATCACTTACTTTTGGTTGTCTTGAACTTTTACTTCTAACCAATTCAGGAACAGCTCCCCTTAATGAAAATTCAGACTCATTTGGAGTTCTTGTTCTTTCTTCAAAATATTCAACAACTGAACCATGAGAGCTTCGTCCTTCTTCATATATGTTACTCCAACCACTAGTTCTTTGTCTGAATTCTTGTCTTCTGTGCCACTCATATTGTGATTGGATACTATCTCGCACGACTTGTCTAGTAGCAATGTCTTCATCAATAAATCCTTCATAATCATCTTCCCCTCTTAACTGTGATAAAAATTCATTTTTTTCTTTTGTTGTCAGCCTTTTTTGATTTGTTTTCTTGAAGGAGTTTCATCATGCTTTCTCTTACTATACCTATTAATAATATAGTTTTTAAAAAAAGAAAAAATTAGTTGCACATGCTTATGTAATTTTATAATTTTTATTAAGAAATTAACAATAATATTTTCAAAGAAATTAAAAAAACATAACATACCAGTAACGTTGGGGCATGGTGCAACATTGCCAGTTTTATGAGCAATGTGTTCTTTGAAACGTGTTATTCCTCCTTTTACAACTTTACCACAAAGTTTACATGAAACATTTCCTCTTGTATTTGGCACAGGTGTTCCAAAATGCCAACCTATATCATAACTTGGCACGCCCTCTACTCCTTTACTCGGGAACTCTTCACGTGGTGGCATACTTACTATTTTGTATAAAAACAAAATAAACTTATATTTAGAAATATTAATATTACTTATTACATCATTAAAAATTGATTTTAGGCTAAATTTTTTAATTTTTAGTTTTTAATCTTAAGAATATTATTAAATAACTTAATCTTTTAGATGCACTAATTGATATTAATTTTTTTATCACAAATAACTTCAAATAATTATATAATAAATACAATCTCCAATAATTACACAAAAATAATAAGAATTAATCTAATATTAAAAGAATTGACAACGATATAAATATCAAAACAACAAAAAAAATTATTAAATTTCATATACAAAATTATAAATTAATATCTAACACAATCAAAATATAATATTTAATTTTAATTAATTTTTGTCTAACTTATATAAAAAATTTATCAATAATTTTCATCTACAATCTCTATGTATATCATATTAAATTATTAATCTTTTATTTTTTTAATTATAAATCTTCAATCCCTCTAATTAGATTTTATCTAAAAAAAATTTCAAAAATTAAAAGTTTTCAAACTTATATTTTAATAAAATTTTCAAACCTATATTTTTATTTTTAGTTTTAATCTTAATAAGAATAATAGATCATAAAATGCTAAATTTGTTAAGTAACTTAATTTTTTTGATACAATAATTGATATAAAATTTTTTTATCACAAACAACTTTTAATAATTATATAATAAACACAATCTTCAATAATTACACAAAAATAACAAGAATTAATATAATATCAAAAGAATTGACAATAATATAAATATCAAAACAACAAAAAAAATTAAAATTCATATGCAAAATTATAAATTAATATATAACACAATCAAAATATAATATTTAATTTTAATTATTTTTCATCTAACTTATACAAAAAATTTTATCAAAATTTTCATTTAAAATATCTATATATTATATTAATTATAAATTTTCAAAACCACTAATTAAATTTTATCTAAAAAATTTTCAAAAATTAATTACAAAATTAAATAAAAAAATTCAATCCCACCTTCCATACACCCTACCACACTCAATCCCTCCCCACCCCATCAATCCCTCTCCACCTTCCCTCCCAACATCCCACCACACCCAATCCCTCCCCACTTTCCTCCCAACACCCTACCACACCCAATCCACACCCAATCCCTCCCCACCTTCCCCCCCAACGCCCCACCACACCCAATCCTCCCACCCCCCTCCAATCTCTCCACGTGCCTAAATATATCAATCTGTTTGACTCTTTCTAACAACCCGAGCCGAGACCATTCTAGAAACATTTCATTTTACTGTTCATCATCTTCTTCGTCTTTACTTTCTCTGGCTTTCCAGAAAAAAAAATTTTTTTTTTCGTCTCTCATTTTCTCTCACATCCCTTTATCACTATCACTTGCTGACTTACCTAATATCTACAGATCTCGTTCATCTTTCAAACTCTCACAAGACACAACAGATCGATCATTTTACAGAAATTTTACAAAAAAAAAAAATAATTTAACTTTCTTTTCTTACCTTGTTTGATCTTGATTCTTGAATGTTGATCGAAAACTTGAGGTTGATTTGAATTTGAATGCCGAAAATGCCGTTTGAATGGTTGAAACTTGAAACTCTGTTTTCTAGCTCGTTTTACAATTTTTTTTTATGATAAAGATCTGAGATTGTGAGCTTTATTTTTTGATTTGGCTTTTACTTTTACTTTTGCAGATTTGTTGTTTTATTTTGCAGGCGTAAAATTTTGTTTTTTTGTTAAAACTATTAGATCCGTGAGTAGAAAAACGGAATAACGACAATAACGGTCCGTTATTGCCGCTATTGCCCGTTACGCCGTTATTTTGCGACCGTTATTCTCCGTTTTTGATGGGAATGAATTTTTCAACCGTTTTCTATACATTAACGGTGGCGGAAGGCAGCGCTACCGCAATTTTGCGGCCGCTATTCCGCTATCAACCCGTTTTTTGAATCCCTGAGTACTACTGCACAAAACCATTGTTCTACAACTCAAAGATATGTCGTGCAAACTATCTAATTCGCACATAAATTCATTGAGTGAGTAGAGTAATAAGAAAAAGATGTTTGGTTAAAAGGTACAGTTTCTTTATTTCAAGAACATATCCACAGGCAGCAAGTGAAAAAAGAGAGGCAGAAAAAACAGAGAAGCGGGCTTCCTCACAACCACTAGCTGACAATTAAATATCAGTTCTAGTTTGACGCAAACACAAAAGAAACAAAAACACTCTATGTTCACTTTTGGAAATATAACCTGAAAAGGAAGCAAATCCTTCTGCTTCATATTTTACTTCAAAAGAAGTAAGTGCGTCCTCAAAGAATCAGGTGAGTTCTTCTGAAGCAACTTCAAGTACTTGTTTGCTCTGAAAAGGGATACACTGGTTCTGAAAAAAAAAATACCAAATTAAACAGTACTTAGGCTTAATAGGCATTTAGCGTAACACATTTTTACAGCACAGGAACTTTAATCAGGAATCTAAAGCACAGGGAAAAGATAATAATAGGTAACCTTCAATAATTTTTCTCCAAAAGGATAAGGATCTACAGGTTTAACATGTCGTTTCCCAGACTTAGAGATGCCACTAGAACTTGATTCTTCATTTTTCTCCTCTGCCTCCTAAAATAATACACGGCATCAGAATGAAATCATCAAAGAGAGTGTTAGCCAAGAATCACCAAAACAAGCTGATATACTTTCTTAGCTCGTTCCGCCTTCCTCTGCTTCTTCATTTTCTTTTTCTGAGAAGGAGTCTTTGATGTGTCATCCTCTTCTTCAGCCAGTGAGTTCAAAGGGAGAATCAAACAACTTTAGATAGCATTTGCACTTTCAAAATCCAATAATTATCACAATGCAGAAAGAAAAGGTTCAAAAATTGAAGTAATCACCAGTTTCAAGCCAAGAGTTTCAGAGAAAGAAACACCAACATAGAAATGGGACAATGGGATCAATCACAAAAACTATTACGTAATGTTGCATGGCTGTCACTATATCATCCCATTCCATTTCACCATCAAATCAATAAGATCAATATAAAAAGCTATAATCAACAAATAAATTTTGGTACAGTAACATGCAATTCTCCATCCTTAACCCAACAGAAATCCCAGGCGCCGCCTTCCTATCATTTAAAAAGCCACAATCTCAAATTTCATATGCCTGCGAGGAACATTTAATCCTTTCAGTAATAACATCACGAGAATATGAACTTACAAAAGATATAACGAAAGCAAATTGAGACTACCAAGCAAAATTTTTATCCTGTTTGGCATATACCACAAGGTCTCAACATAATAAGAATCCCCTACGTACAACATAAAACACCATCCTAAGTATGAAACAAGTATATAACCTTATAAAAATCAGAAACTATAATCTAGAATACTTGTTAAATTAAATTTGACTTGAGCATCATTTGAAAACAAATTTTTTAAGCAGATCCAAATATTTGCATCTTCTTTTAATAGTTAATAATTTGTGGGAGAGCATTTGAACTTCAGACCTCCTACCAGGGCAAGAGGAGTTATTGCAACTAAGGTATGTGTAAAGCCACAAAAAAAAAACTGCTTTATAGTATAACATAATTGGCTTATTAATAGCATTTGTTTCTATATGGTAAGGATAGACATGTATCCACAGTTGAAAATTCGTTAATGGTACATTTTCCTATATATTATGTATTTGGTCCATCAGGTATATAAAACAAAGAGACGGGGCACAAGGATTGTTTTACATAGCATTCTGATACATAATACTAATTTAATCACATACATATCAATTAGATCAACAAATGAATCAACAACAGCCTCTTATTTGAACTCTAAAACTCTCTTTTGTATTCCTATACAAATGAAATTGAAAAACAGATTGATTAACATTATTTGAAAAAATCATAAAGTTCATAACGAACTTAAAATCATTGTGCATATCAAAATGACTAGTATTATTATTACTCATTATTAAAATTCACATTCAAAAAGAAGAGAGAAAATTTTGTTTTATGATAAAAAAATTCATTCATGGATCTCAGTTAATTTTCAAGGGGAGAAAAAAGAAAACAAGGAGTCCATTGAATTTCAACTAATTAGTGTCACAAATAAGATAAAAAGATTTACCTCAAATTAGGAATTGCACAAAAAAGATTATTTACCTCAAAAAGGTCTATGTAAAATTATAGGAAAACATCAATGGCTACTATCTTATTTATCAAAGAAAAATAAAATACACTATAAAGAATTAATTAGTGAGTTGGATATTCAGGAATAAAAAAACCGCTAATTTGAAAATTTTGAATTAGTCAATTTATTAGATATTTCATTTAGATATACTTTTAATTTTCAATAATCCATGTAAGAGTGAATTAAGGAAAAACTTATGAATCTATCAGTTACAAAAAAAGGCCTTAGGATAGTCAATATGATAGCCATTTAGCCGAATGGAGTTTTGTATAGAATATCAATAATAATAATAATAATAATAATAATAATAATAATAATAATTCCATTGCTACCATTATAATAATAATAATAATAATTCCATTGCTACCATTATTATGATATTACATATTCCAATCCAATTGAATACTAGAAAAATAAAATGAATTCCTAATTTTATCTATTCATTTAGATAAAGAGAAAATAATCATAAAATATATATAGGGAGAGAGTTGATTTTTCTAGAACTTAACTTTTCCATAGATTCCATTGTTCAAAAAATGATTTACAGAGAGACATTTCACCAACTTTTTAGTTTTTTATTTTTTAGTAGAATATTTAGAATATGATTGAAGTATGCACGAAAAGAGGCTTGTATTTATTAAACATGCGCAAATATAGCATTTCTATTTATATTCTTTTCCTTTTTTTATTCCATTATAGAACTCTAGTGGAGAAAACACACAACGTGCTCTATGCAAAATTCTATTTTTCTTTAATTTTAATCTATTCAATGAAAAATTGAAGCATGATAAATTTTTGCTAATTCCCTATGGACATCATATCTAGATAGATGAAATACATTATTAGATAACTATAGCTGTGTAATAACTTTTGTTCTGGGGTTTACATAGAATCATAATTGTTGTTATATTATTATAATATAATATAAATCAAATTAAGGAATTTTTTTTTATTGAAAAAAGGAACAATACTAATTTTTTACTTGAGATACTATAACTAATTGAAGGTATGGTTCCAATCTATAACTAAAAAGGGGATACTCTCATTTTTTTTGTTTCTAACCTTTGGTGACATGGCCAACCAGTAAGGCGAGGGACTGCAAATCCCTTATTCTCCGGTTCAAATCAGGTTGTTGCTTGATCAACAAAAAACTTGGAACCCTATATTCTGTTTTGCTCATATAACTCGAAAAATTTTTTCTAGCAAAAACAAATGTAAGAAAAGGAATCTTGATACTTTCTTGATTATAAACTTAGCGAGGTTTTGTCTTGAAAAATGTTGTAAATCCGTACATCCAAGATTCAAGGAAAAACTAGAGTAGTGGAAGGGAATCAGATAGCCCCTCCCCTATTAATGGAGGGGCTGCTAGAAGAGTCTTGAATTAGACTGGATATCATAATGGGAGTGTCTAATTAACAAATGAATGGTTGTACAAGGGTAAGTAATGAACAACAGTTACCTTTAGGAAGTTTTTCATGCTTTGAAAGCAAGGTTCAGACAACACATCATTGCAACATATGATTAATGCAATATATATGTATGCAATAATCCCCCATTCCCCAAAAGACAAAAGGAAAAAGAGGGAGGCAAAGAAAATCTAATCCAAAGTGAAGCATCACATGCATGTGTTGATCAACAATAGGTGACAGAAGCTAAAAGCACCCAGACAAGTAGACCACAGAGATTACATAGCATTTTTCACGTACAGGCCACAACCAAACGGAATAAGTCTATTGCAAATCATTGAAAAGCTTGCAGATCCTAACAAAAATGTTCACCTGATGGCACCAGCTGCTGCTTTGTGAAAATAAGCATGTGAATGCAACCGATCTTGAAATTCTAGCATTTCAACATATGCACAGAGTGTCATTTTCTGCAAACAATAAGAATGGAAATCAAATTGATCTTCAGCAATATCAGCATAGTGCTTCTCCACAGCTAAAAATTTCTTCAGGGCCCGTCCAAGATCACCTTGTCGAAAGTAACTTTCACCAGAAGCAAGTTCATACCTCAAAAGATGGATAACACTTAGTAGGTGCACCCAAATTATAATTAGAGACAACAACATGTCGAAGGTAATAAACAAAAACAGACCACATGCACTGGCATGTCATTGAAGGTGTTTGTGCTGGTCCCCATCTTTTGTGAACAAAATAGCAGTTTTTCTGCCAAAGCCACCTTCAAGAGTGGAAAAGTTTGTGAACAGTTACAGTAATACTGAAAGAAATTTACAGTGACAAATATTAACTATGATAAAAGATGAAGGGGGGAGCTTTAGAACCTGATCAGCCTGCAACATTCGCTTCACAGATTCACTGTTTATATAACGGTCTACGAGATCCATACACCGAGCTTCATCTGCCAATGAAGCTGCAGCTACCAAATCACCAGCACGTTTCAGTATCCGACTCTGTCACCAAAGAGAAGTAAATAATATTTCTCCAAAAGATAGTGTAGACACCCAATTGGGTCTAGGCCCAGATCAATTGGGCTTGGCCCAAATGGGTAAGGCCCAATTCAATTGTAACCCTGTATTTTTTTTTCTTCTTTTTTTGTATTTTATGTATTTTATTATTTATTATTATTATTATATATTAATATATGTATATCTTTATTTATTTATTTTCTGTTAATATTTATATGTATTATATTTATATAGTTATATATATATTATTATATTATTATTATTTTATTATTATTTTTTTTCTCTTTTTCTTGTAATATTTTTTTTTGGTTTATCTTATTGTATTCCTAATTATCTGTTAATAATTTTTTTTTCTTTCTCTTTTCTTGATCCGTATCTGATTCTTTTCTAATTATCTATTATTATTTTTTTATTTTGATTTTTATTTTTGGAGGGCTGAGATTGAAGTTGAAGAATCCCACTGGAATGGAATTCAATCAGAAGAGTCCAGTTGGATTCAAAGATTGAATTCCCGTCCAAGGAGGAATTGGGATTGATCAGGAACTCCTGATCAATCCCTATATAAAGGACCCCTGGAACAGATGCAAACACACAGAAAATAGTAAGCAAAGCTACTGATTTGAGAGAAAAGAAGGCGTATAGGAAGCTAAGAAAAGTTTAGGAGTGTTCTGGGAGTGAGAAAAATTTTTTAGAATTTTTTGGCGAAAAATTTTTCTAGAAATTTCTGAGAAATTTCCAGATTCCAGCGAAAATTCAGGCAAAATTTGAATTTTCCGACAACAATTCCGGCGAACATTGAAGTTTCCGGCAACCTACCCAGTTTCCGACGAATATTCCCAGAAACCGATGATATTCCGACCAACTTCCGGAGAAATTTTCAGATTCCGACGACATTTTCCAGAATCCGGCACCGGTGTTCTTCAGCTTTTAGAGAGAAGGGAGAGGAAAAGGGAAGAAGAGAGAGAGAGGGGAGGAGCGTTCTGCCGAAAAACGAAGGGGATTGCATTTTATACCCTCCCAAAACGACGTCGTTTTGGCTTTAAGTTAATAAGAGGATCCGCCCGTTTTGCCGAAACCCGAGCGTCGACCCGATTCTGACCCGCGCGTGCCTGCCCCCTTCGAGCCAAGCCGAGCTTCCCCAAGCCGCTCCTCGAGCCGTTTTCTCTTCCTTGAGCCGAGCCGAGCCGAGCCTCGATCCGAGCCGCTCCAGGTTTTTTTTTTTTTCATTTATTTGTTTATTTGTTTATTTATTTTTTTTATTTATTAGATTAGGTTTATTTAATATTCTTTTTATCTTTATTTTATTTTTATTTTGTTTTTTTATTTTTATTTATTTTCACTTTCATTTTTTTTTATTATTCTATTTTCTTTAAATAAAAATAAAAAATTCCAAAAAAAATATTTTTAGGGAAAAGTTGAAAGTATCAATTTTCCTTAAAAATAAATTTCAAAAAGAGTTTTTGAGGAAAAGTTGAAAGTATCAATTTTCCTTAGAAATAAATTTCCAAAAAATATTTTTGAAAAAAGTTGAAAGTATCAATTTTCCTTAAAAATAAATTTCAAAAAATATATTTTTAGGGAAAAGTTGAAAGTATCAAT